GCAGAGATGACTTGATGGAAAATCAAATTTTCGAGTGGGGATCTCTCGCGCGCTGTCTGAGCTGTGTTTATTTTAGGATTTCGACAAAGTGATGCTCTTTGAGTGGGTGCAAAAGGCTCAAGGATTGCTGATCACTTATCTGCTGAGTCTTGACATAAATCTCTAAGTTTGAATGCAAACACTTGAGTGCTTTCAGAGTGAGATAAACCAGATTATGGTTATCTGCGGTTCGGATGCCTGAAATTATTCAAAAGGCTGCCTTATCTAAAAGTCTTTAGAAATGAAAGAAATGCGACCGGACACCGGTTTCTGTACAATAATGTTGAAAGCAAATTTATCAATCACCTTCCGTGCTACGATAAAAACCCTGGCCAGGTGCGAAGTTTGTCAGAGAGTTCTACTACACCCCTGAACCTCTGCGCTTTACTTGTAGACTCCCTTTGTAAACATATGGGCAAAAGAAGATACTCATTATTGTTCACTTTATCTCTTGCAATCTCGCGACAATGTCAGTCAAATACGATATACAATATGCCATAAATCATCACTATTGCTTCGTGAATAGCGTTGATATATCATTGAATTATTGCACGGAAAAGCTTCGAAATCGTCAAACGGACGCGTGTATAAGTTATTAACAAGCTTTACGCGTAGATAGCAGAGCAATGAGGCTTTCTGATAGAATCTAGACAGGCGTGGTTCGGAACCGAACGTGTTTTCAATTTTACGAAAGGCGGGAGACGATTTTCCTGGCGGGTTGACAACACATTACAAGTGATTCAGTTAGCACTTCATAATTAGAACATTGGAAACAAATCAAAAACTATTAGTTCGTTGACGTTGTCATACCCAGCAAAACGAGACGTGCGTTTCAGACGGTATTACTAAGGCGTTTTGCAGCGATATCAGTTTCAACTAAATTCGCAAATATGCGTTCCAATAATTTTTTTAGCATTTACTATACCGTGAAAATCCGAGATATAAATATTACTCCATAAAACGATAATATCTTTGGGATAGAAAATGCAACACGATAGCAGATTGTAGATAACATAATTCTATACACAACAACAGTGCAATGCTTTTAACAAGGAAAATTTGCCAGGGAAAGGTCGAAATTCTTGTGGTATTTCAGTCCACGAAGACTGTTTAATAATCCAGCAGATTTTCAGACCCCTGTCATGAAAATGTTGATTTTAAAAGTTTGACGATTGAAATGCTGATTGAAGACGCCTCTGGCTTGCTTAATCTCTGCACGATTCGTAGCTCATCTCGTGAAGCACAGCTATACAATGAAAAGCTCATAACTTAGCTAGCGACTGATGAAACCTTTGTCAATAATTCCTGTGGGGAAGACCGAAGACAGACGTATACCCCACGAAGACCCGTGTCTTATTGCCACAGCCCAAAGCGACTCCTCGAAAAAAGAGCTTCAAGTCCCTAGATCTTTCTTAATACCACGAAAAAAATTGAATTAGCTCGAAATTCACAAATCAATTTATTCCAACGAACTTAAAGGACTCGAAAAATTGCAAGAAATTCTTGCAAGTAACTCTTGATGCATGGAAGAGATAGCATGTCGTTGTATTTTAAAATTGCCGATAACGAACAATCCTTAAGTAAACACTGATGTCTAGACATGCATCAAACTTCATTTCCCCTTCAGATATCTTCTTTTATGCATGATGCATACGGTAGGCGAAAAATGGCATTAGAAAGTGCTCGGATAAGATTGTCTGTTCAATTCTCAGCGGTGAAAAAATGCGGTTTTCGACCGGATAACTTTTTAACACACAATAATTTGGCTATTTCTTGCCATCATGGCATAAAAGATATTAATATAGAAAGCGAAAAACCCCTCTTTCTTGCTGTGAAAATATTAAACCGTTTGACTTCATATTTAATGCATTGCGACATCTTAAAGTGAGGATTGCACTTTTTTTGAGGCACCCTTTATAGACGTTTCTGACGTTGTTCACTTTAGTTATAATGCATCATCAAGTGATGGATAAAAATCACCAACGCGAATTAACAGACAACGATGCTGACATAATAATATCCAATAGACGCATTACTCACATTAGACTGTCTGCATTAAAAGCTCAGCATTGGGGGTTGAATTAACAATGATGACATGCTTGTTATAACAAAAAAACATTTGACGTCTAGACGAAAATTTTAAATGAGATAGTCGCAAACTCATTGCCCTTGCTGTGCGCTGTAGTTATTTTGTTGTATTAGTAATTTTAAGAGCAATTCTATACCTGAAGTGTGGGCTATGATTATGGTGCTAGATTTTTTGTTAACACGGTATATATGGTGTAAGATCATATAAAATTTGTTTGTATATTCATTTGAATGATGGAATTTGCTTATTTCTAAACGCAAAAGGACGATAATGAGTTGTACAAAAATCAGACTAGCAGTTCTACACCAGACATCAAGGAATTAGGTTGAAAGTGAAAGGATGAATAAGACTAGTCAGGCTTGTATTAGTAGCAACAGTCAGCACTCAGTCAGACTAGCAGTACTGCAATGATCAACTGACATTGAGGAAGGTTGAAAGAGAAACACTGAATAAAACATTGCAAAGCAGTAAGTACTAGACTAGTCAGGCTAGTATTAGTAGCAACAGTCAACACTCAGTCAGACTAGCAGCACTGCAATGATCAACTGACATTGAGGAAGGTTGAAAGAGAAACACTGAATAAAACATTGCAAAGCAGTAAGTACTAGGCTAAGTCAGACTAGTATTAGTAGCAACATGCAGTCAGCACCCAGTCAGACTAGCAGCACTGCAATGATCAACTGACATTGAGGAAGGTTGAAACGTGAAAGAAAAACACTGAATAAAACATTGCAAAGCAGTAAGCACTAGACTAGTCAGGCTAGTATTAGTAGCAACAGTCAACACCCAGTCAGACTAGCAGTACTGCAATGATCAACTGACATTGCGGAAGGTTGAAAGTGAAACACTGAATAAAACATTACAAAGCAGTAGGTACTAGACTAGTCAAAAAAATTCGGTCGCTTACGCGTGTGAGGTAACTAAAGTAGACTTGAATAGTCATTTGCGTCAGCCTGAGGAGCTTAGTACACAGTAAGGATCTTAGAAAGCGTAGGCGCCTTAGGTATAGGTTTGCCAGTGAAACACTCCAAAGTACTCTAGTAAAATTAGCTTAGATTATTCAAGTAGCATGGGTGGAATAAATCCAAGGGGAGCTTGAAAGCCAATCGCAAAGTAGATGATCTGGTAAGACTTGTCATCCATTCACGTGTGATCTGTGGTGTGATCCAATGAACCTTAGTTTGATTTTTTCAACTCCGTAATAATTCTTCCTGTAGTAAGATCCTTCATGTCCTATGTCGTTCATACATGAAAATTTCATCCTTCCGTTTTAATTACCACAGCGTGATTAACTTTGGTAATCCGTACATCTTCCATCATAAATCTGGTGTCGAATTCAAAATCCATACTCAAAAAAAATGATCGGATTAATGTGCCCAGGTGGCCTTTTCGAGGTGTCATATTAACACATATGCATGATTGTAGCTTCGAAATCAGGACTATATACAAGATTAGTGAACATTGTGACGCCTTTTTGACCATGCCACTGTTTTTTTTTTCCAACACGAATACGGTTTCGAATGAAAATCACATTATCGCATTGACGTCTTCGCAGGATTAAAACATTTGAATACGATGCAGATGCATTTGGAGGGAACAATGAATATTTCATCCTATCACCAAGCCCTGACCCCAGTGCAACCCATCGACATTTCGCGGGGGACGAAACGGGAATGTGCGTATGCGTGGGGGAAGGGGGGGGGGAAACCACAACTTTGGACGCAAGATACAATCCGGTGTATCCTAATCCACTTGGTAGAATATTTTTGCGGGTGAAATCGGAATGTTTGGGGGAAAAGCAACCGGACTTTTGCTGTTCAAAACAACTTCATTTAATCCACTTCGTGGGCGAAATAAGTAAGCATGTCCCGGAAACCCGCAAACTCGGGAGATTTAAAAGTCATTCCATCATAAAACCTAATCCACTTCGTAGCCGGAATCAAAATTATTCTATTCATAAACAATGTCCGCGCACATTTCACCATTCGAAATAGATGCATCGTGTATGATCTTATACAAACTAAGGTCGTTCTTAAATAGGCATATCTGATATTTTTACTGAGAATCACCACTACTTTGGCGACGGAGAAAGTACAGAAAGATGACATTTGATAATAAAGAATGCTGCCGGAAGTGCAACGTTGCTGATTTTAAAACGATTCCATAAAACTTAATCTACTTTATAGCCGGTATCAAAATGCATCTATCTAACAAACGTAGGGTACAAATATATGACCATATACATTAAAGTTATCACGATGATAAACAGCCGGTGTGTTCTTAGGAAATTACGGTGTCCTGTTCTGATTTACGCACACGTCTGGTCATTATTTTCACTAGGAATTATGGAACCCATTGCAATTAGCGACGAAAAAAATATATAAAAAAGTCGATGTAAAAAATAAACTTGGATGAAAGATCAAAATTATATCTCTTAAGTGTCTTGTTTATTCTACGTCTTGAAATACAAATATCTTCAGAGGCGTGTATTGGTATTTGCCTCGCAGATAATCCAGCGCGACATTACTGCTAACCGCAGGTAATAAGAGTGGAATATGTTATAAAAAAATAGTGAACTTCTCCGGACTATATTTCACGCATGTTACATGGTTTAGAAACTGTAAAACTTGTAGTTTTATTCAATCTAAGATGCTCTATCTATAGCTGTGATGTTAATTTTATCCTTATCCCCTGAATAAAATTCAGTCTATACTTGAAATTATTGATAAAAAATCGAGCCCCCTTCGATCTTAAAAGGTACATTAAAAAATGTTATCATCAAGTATTAAAAATTCACATTTCATATGATCATAATTTATGTATATAGCATTCTGTGCAATTATCTACACTATTATATATAAAAGTAAAGTTTGATGAATATGTGTTTTTATTTGATAAACTACAGAGTTATTCAAAACTTAGTGCGGTTAATACAGTACACAGAGTCACAGACGAGAATAAGATAATTTTGCCGTGAACTATGTCAATACGATAGCCTAAATTAGATACGTTTCAAGTTTCCCAAGGCCCCTAAAGTTGCAGACTCTTCAAAAATCTTTACATGAAAGATAAGCTGCCAGAAATATACGAGAAAATTCCTCGACGTTTCGAGGGATTTTGCCAGCGAGATAGTTAGTAAACAACGCTACTTACGGACTTCTCTGACGCAAACCCTAAGTCGTAACTCTGAGAGTCTTTCTGCATATTTTGTACCGTTGCTGGGTCAATCATTTCATGATAATAAAATGATTTAGCTAAGAGCGTAACTTGAAAACGTGTGGAGATTCGAGGTATTTCTAGTGTTTATGAGAAATTTCCCGAAGCGACTTATTACCCTTTAGCAACTTATTTTGCAACAACATTTGCACGTGTCAATCAACACCTCGTGTTCTGTATTTCTCGGAACTGCATTCCACAGAAGTGGTTTAGAACGTTTCTCAACATGAGCTGAGCAAGCGGTCCGTATATGGTTTGCAAAATCGCTATATTTGCAGGAAACACCTGGTTATATAAGCGATTGCTTAGAGCAATTGCAGACCGTTGCTCCATCCAGTTTTATCGCGCGGTATTGGGATCGAAAACTCGCAACACGCGCGGGCCTAAAGCTGGTGCCGTTTTCGACGGCAAAAAACCTACGACTTTTGAGTCTGACGATGCTAAGACAGTGAAACACTAATAAGTAAATTAGGCTAACTCATACTTGGTGTGAGCTGGTCTGTAAATGTTCCGTTTAACACAGCGAACCATCCAGTCAATCCCATTCTCTACGCCGTCTCTGTGAGGAAATTCAAAAGCAAGTTAAGATCTCGCGAAATAGTTGTAGCATGCTCAATTTGGCTAAACATATCTTCCCGAACCAGGGGGAAAGTTTGTTGAGAAAAAAACACTAAAGATAACATGGCGGAGTAGTGATTGGTGTTATGTTCGTGTTACATGAAGTATAAAACATTAGAAAGAACACATGTAATGTATTTGGGACGAGGAAATAAAGACAATTTTAAAGATACAACAATAGGGTGTGTCTCTTAGATCTTACCCTTCCAAAGCAGATATTGGTTGAACTGTGCAATCTCGTCTTCCAATGTATGGTGTGACATCTTTGAACGCGTCCTTGATATCTTCCACAGGTCTTGCATTCTAAAAACATAATATAACTTATAACATCTATGTACTATAGTTAACACTGAAAATTGAAGTAAAAATTGAATCAAGCCAGCAGTATGGTGACTACCCCCACACAGTCAGTACGGGTATGGGTATCTACTTAATATGATTGAGTTTTGGGACTGGCTTTTCTTAACAATAGCAAACTGTGTTTATGATTTGTTATTTGGAAAATCAATTTCTATAGTTCATTGTGTTTTATCGCTATCATCAACCGATAGAAAAGTTTTTTCCTACCCAGTCTACCCCCCTGTAGTTCTGAAATCATCAAATTTCTGCATCCCCCTTCTCAATGGAAAATTTCTTTCTATGCTAAGTGTTTTGGTCGACCAAATATATTAGGCATCAGCGAAAACCATTTGTTTCATTCGAAAACCATGACACTAGGTAAAACAATCTTCCATTTACAATACCTGGGAGTCTTGCTTATTAAACAGTACCAAAAGTGGGACATTCTCGAGATCAGGACTTTGGATCACATGACCTGATAGAGAGAGCGATGAAATTACTGTGGTCAATACACTCTGTGCTAGGATTTCAATCTCAATCTATGGTATATACCCCTAGAGCTAAGCATCCATATTTAAGGTAATACTCACTGAAAACTTTGGCAGCTTCATCATGCCTTGGTTCATCAACTGAATCGACAAGGTATATAAGACCATGGCACTCCTGATAGTACTAGATTGAAGAGAAACCTTGTAAGCAGGAGAAAGTCATTGAATGAAGCCTGTATTCTGAAATATTGAGCATATTTTTACATATAGAAGTGAGTCCATAACACAATGTAAATCATGAATAAACATAATGCATGATGTTACATGAAGTAGAGTTTGTAACACAAAGCATGTGATAGTTGTTGGTGATGAACGCTGAACATCTACGTAGGTATAGTCGTCATATTCTGGAGATGATTCAATTGCTCCTAAGCAAATGTATAAACCTGTCATCATCCACTAAACAATTATTACCTTATCCCAGAGTGACTGAAGGTCCTGGTGTCCTCCGAGGTCCCAGAACAATAATCGTACACCAGAAACATCAACTTTACCAACTAAAATAATAAAAACCTTGTTGCAAAATGCTGTTCGCACAGATCCAAAAATACTACAGCAAGGAACATTTTCCTAAACATCAGTCACAATATTGTTCTGAAGTGTTCAAGAAATGAGAGGAAACTTACACTGCAATGAATTAGTGAAAAATGTCTTTCATTTATTATAATGTCTCCCAATTACAGCAACTTGTCAAATGGTCACAGTCGTTTCATCTAGGGGGAACCTAAGTAGTCTGCTATGTGAACCCTTGTAAAGGTTACTCTCTATTTCTATATACTTACTATTCAAACCAACTGTATTTGTTATTTTCTCAAAAGGAATCCCTCTGTAATCGCTATTAAACTTTCTTTTCACTTGTTCCAAGAACGTCTATATAAACCAAATATGAAATATAACATATTTTGCACAACTTGGTCGAAACTGAACGTTGGTCTCTTGAGATTTTAATTGAATTTTTGTTGTCCTTAACATCGCAATTTGATAAGGCTAAGTTGTACAGTACAACAATGACGAAAATCTTTACCAAAAAAATATTTAAAGTCGCAATTAATATTCAAATGTCACAAATTTATCTTCGACTTTTCAACGCCTCGAAATTTTACACGCTTGCTGTTGAATAAACACATGACTAGAAAACTCTACTTCGTGACAAAGAACAAGCAAATACAAACCACAAAAATGATTAGAAGACATTTAAATCAATGTCAAATATTCCTTTCAAAAACTCAGCTGGATACGAATATTTCTCAACATACCGTTTTGCCAACGTTATCTACTCCCAAAATGAGTATATAATATTCGTCTTTCTGAAACATGTAACGCCATAATCCGGAGAGCAAAGTGAACATCTTTGATGTTCATTCAGACGAAGACAAAACAGGAAATTTTATTTCTAAATGTTCACATTTTGATCTCTTTCAGCTCTTTCTTCCCACTTGAAGCCGCCATCTTGAACTTTTGCGCGCAAGTCTGGGAACGAATCTTGAGCTGCGATCTTGAATTGAACGAATTGAACAAGTTCAGCGTATCAATAGACCTGCATATCTATGCAAGAAAATTCAATCAAATCGCCACAGCTGAAAAGAGCGTACTAAAATTAGTAGAAATGCAAAGTTTGGATACGAAATGTTGTAAAATACGGAAATCAGTCCTAAACTGTCCTTCCTAGAGGTCCAGGCAGTAAGGATCATCTCTTATTGATCCAGTGTTACTGCAGGAGGAAACCTAAACTAAACTGACTTTATTTATACTGGATGGCTCCATCAGTCCTGAACTGTTCTTCCTAGAGGTCCAGTAAGGATCATCTCTTATTGATCCAGTGTTACTACAGGAGGAAACCTAAACTAAACTAACTTTATTTATACTGGATAGCTCCATCAGTCCTGAACTGTTCTTCCTAGTGGTTCCAGTAAGGATCATCTCTTATTGATCCAGAGAAAACCTAAACTAAACTAACTTTATTTATACTGGTTAGCTCTATCAGTCCTGAACTGTTCTTCCTAGAGATCCAGTAAAGGCTAGTTTCCACTCAGGAAAATTCTCCTTTGGATCGGACAGGACAGGAAAGTTTCTTTTGTATAAACGCCGCCTGAGAACTCACCGACAAAGGAAATTTTCCTGTCCGTTCCGATCCAAAGGAGATTTTTCCTGAGTGGAAACTAGCCTTAACGATCATCTCTTATTGATTCAGTGTTCTACTGAACATGATCCCACCGAAAAAACATCTTTCATTTGATCAGGTCAGATACCACAAACCTATTTAATTCAACACAGATAAGACACGGATGTTCTAGCAACTGAAAAATATGTGTACAAACTTTAATCAACAATGAGTGTCGCGTTAGTATAACTTTCTACAAAATAACGTCCGTCCTAATATGGACATCACACGTGATCAGCGTGTATCTGGTCGATGTGTATAACCAAAATAAATTTCGACCAGCAAATATTTTCTGTACATATTATTAATGCAAGTTATTCCAACACCTCAACACCGATGTCCCATTATTATTAGCAGCTTGATTTCCGCGAAAAGCACGATGCTTCAGAAAAAGGTCAGCTTGTTCGCCTCTCATGGCTGTTTTAATGTGGCTCGGCTCAGATCGATGGAGGACGCCGCTGGGGGGCTTCAAAGTAGAACTAGGTTTGGGGGACGAATTGAAAAATATATACAAGATTTTTTTAAAAAAACTGGTACAAATTCAAAAGGTTCATAAGTCAGAAAACATAGGTCCAAAAGATAGGTAACAATCTGACACGATATTTTTAGGTGTCTAAAGAATATACGTGAATTGAAACGCTGCCCGTGCTTACTTTCTTCTGGATACATTTTTACAAAAATACGGTTCTGTTCCAAATATCCCCCATTATCCCTAGACATATCTGAAGCCCCCTCATAAATGCGGCGTACAGTCCTTCACAGTCCTTCACTTGGCGCGCGGTCGTGGATGATTCGTCATCAAGGGAGATGGCTAGAAGTTCTTTCTAACGTGCCCAGATGCCACAGAGGCTGATCTCTGAGGCGTTCTCGCGTTCGGGGTGAAGTTGTTGCCCTCCGCTGAATGCCGCCGTCCATCCTCAGAATCTTTGCCATGTTTCCTAAAGAATTACGGTGCGTCAACAGCTTGTTATCATGAGAAGTTTTGCAACGGTTTGTCGGAGAGAGCAGCGTGCCAACGTCTTCAAACAATTTCCCATCAAATGTTGTACAACAAACTGCCAAAGGTCCCCACAGGGGGGACGGACGTGTTGCGCGACGCGAATTTTCAAAGTTTTTTCACTTCCAAAAGCAAATAAATTTTAACCTATCAGAATAATTTTGTAGATTACTTAACGATAATGCATTTTGACTGCTCTGGTTTCCATAGATTTCACATTTTGCTGCCAGAATTTAATCTGTATATGCTTCTAAAAACTGAAAATTCGCGTCGCGTTGCCCCATTGCGTCTGGTCTGTGTCGGCCTTTAGGCCCTTACGTTGAAACGTCGAGAAGTGTTTTACCTATTTTAGGCAGTTGTTGTACAACATTTGCGAAGATTACTGAACATGTTTTAACTTGCTACAGCCGTGCAAAGTGTTCTTCAAACCAACTGATTGACAAAATGAGAGTTCTTACTATTCGTTAAACTCACTTACCTTGGCGACTGCCTGTGCCTGGGGACGATCTTCTTCGTGAGATACGAGACCCATTCCTTCTGCTCGTCGTGTGATGGAGCCAAGACCAGCAATTCCTTCGCAGTTAACATGTCGGGTGTTACTGGAAACGAAAAATACGAATGTCACATTACCGCTGTTACTCGATTTATGAAAATGAAAATATGTTTATGGTTTACCAGACCTCCGGGTAGAATCAGGCTATATTATGGTTAGGGACAGAGGGGTGTATATTGAGAAATAACCCAATCTATCCATCCATCCATCTATCAGTTCCTAGCCCTTCCTGGGGCCAGTTGTATAAAAGACTAGTTAACTTTTAACTGTAGTTAAGGACAGAATTGGCCAAACAGAGTTGGGTATTTCTGAGTTAACTAGGATTTAACTATGCAAAATGTAGCTAGAGTTTTATATATATAAGAATTCTTAATTTCCATACCTTGACAGGCGCTGACACAGGCCTCTTCCCTATCCACGTGGTCCTTGTGACATTTGATGTGACATCCTGAAAAAAAATCCGATGTGAGCTTCAGGGATTGAAAAATATCTTTGTGGTATGTGGGGTAACAGGTACAGACAAAATACTTATTCGGAAAGGGGCGAAAGTCGCCAACTATATATTATTTGGGGTGGGGTGCGAACCGTTTTGGGAGGATTGTCTATGGAGATAAAGGGAAACAGCGGGACATGTCGCAGCTCTCGGCTTTCGTCCAATTAGATAATGCTTTTCTATGCTTTTTAAAGAACGAAGCTATGCTATTGGTTGAAACAGAAATGTATTGTAAAGTTCAGCCAATGAAAATCATTCTTGCGAGGAGCTGCGACACTACCCGAAACAGCGCGGATAAGACTGTGACAGGTGTGCACTATGACAACTTTAACAAATAAAGCAAAGTAAATAACTGGAAATAAAGGAAGCCACTTACTTCTACATTCAAGAGCATCAGGTGCTTTGAACATGTGCCAGAGCGGTTTAGGGCATGTATCGCACGTGGTCGGCATGTGATAATGGACGATTAAAAACTCGTGTTGCATGTACACGATTAGATTTCCACGTTCCTAAAAAACATTTTCACACGCCGTTAAAAAACATCCTCCTGGGTCGGTTAAACCCTGCGAATGTGAGGTAATTGGATGCAGTTTCGAAGAATGACGGTAGGATTAAGATTTAGATATAGGATTAAGGATTAAGAACTCGGATCAAGGGATTCATTAAATAGGAATGGCTGATGGTACCTCTGGAGCTTCTTGCAGTTCGTTCTCCGTTTTTCGTTTACTTTCTCCCTCGCTACCGTAGAGAATCTGAAGAAACAATGTTTTGATGTCAACAAACAGGAAATTGTCTTCGCCCCCCCGATAGAATCTCGCGGGAATCTCGCGCGAAATAAACACGCGGGTTTCTGAAGGTCTCAGAACCCCATTAGTACCTGGAATATCCTAGGAATTTCATTCTTATCCGCTCGAATGACATCCCCTTGGGACACTGGTCTTGCGTGAAAAAGTTTACTACAAAAAATAGACAAGATTTTATACAAGGCTTTCCACCCACGGAACCGTCTCACAAATTATGTGCAACATGGTCTCAATATATTCACCTTATATCAAGTATCATGTTAGGCGTGGCGCTGGATTTGTCAGCCTCGTTGTTGTAGAAGAATATTTTTCGACTGCTGATGATAACATACTGGAAAGAAAATGAAAAATAGTCAAACGTCAAACCTTTTCGGCGTACCACTTAAACTGTCGCGAATTTCATCTATTTTAGCTTTATTCCCTTGAACATTATGTAGACAGTGAACTAGGTGTGAACAATAATTGGTTGCAAAAGTTTTGCAGGTTTTGAGAGCAAATAATATTACGGTTTGATTAAATTTAGATCTGTACAAATGACTCTGAAATACCTGTTTCTTCCAGCCATATTTCTTAATATTTTGTCTATTTGGCACCGCCAACCAGCCTTCCTTGGCAAACGATCCTGTAAAAAATCGAAATAAAAACTTTGTCGAATACAGAGGCTTCTTGCTAAAAAACGGCAGGTTACTACAACAAGGTTACTCCGATACCTAACCGGCTGGCACCGAGCATACACCGAGCATACGCCGAGCATACACGAGACCTACCCGGAATATCCTCTGCGTTGTTCAAATTCGAAGGTACGACGTCAGCGACTTGTTTTAATTGCTTCAACTGAGCCTGCAGTTGTTCGATTAGTAAGTCTTTCGAATCACTCTCCATCTAAAGCAAAAATTAAAGCATGAAATTGAATATCAAACCACCGAAATACTTGCTTTAGTCGCAACAAAGAGAGAAGAAATATTTCTTTGAAAGTTACCTCGATTTTTTGGATTCTATCGTTTTCGGCTTGAATTGTCTGTGATAACAGAATTTGAATTTAACAAGAACGCTTTTTTAACGACAATGTTGAAAAACAATATCTGTTCTAAACTGATCTTCCTAGAGGTCCAGTAAGGATTATCTCTTATTGATCCAGTGTTACTACAGGAGAAAACATAAACTAAACTAACTTTATTTATACTGGATAGCTCTATCAGTTCTAAACTGTTGTTCCTAGAGGTCCAGTAAGGATCATCTCTTATTGATCCAGTGTTACTACAGGAGGAAACCTAAACTAAACTAACTTTATTTCTACTGGATAGCTCTATCATTTATAAGCTGTTCTTCCTAGAGGTGCAGTAAGGATCATCTCTTATTGATCCAGTGTTACTACAGGAGGAAACCCAAACTAAACTAACTCTATTTATACTGGATATCTCTATCAGTTCTAAACTGTTCTTCCTAGAGGTCCAGTAAGGATCATCTCTTATTGATCCAGTGTTACTACAGGAGGAAACCTAAACTAAACTAACTTTATTTATACTGGATAGCTCTATCAGTTCTAAACTGTTCTTCCTAGAGGTCCAGTAAAGGGTCATCTCTTTTCTCCAGTTCTAGAAGGGCAAACTTTGGATACACGTTAAAACTTACGTTTTGATAATCTGAGATTTGCATTTGATTCCTGTTAACCATTGCAGTGTATTTTTGCTTCTCCTGAAAAAGCATACAGCTATCATTGAGATCTGATTCAAGCAAACAAATCAATCTTACGCAATCTTACGCTCATATTTTAGCCAATCAGCGCTCAGAAGGGTTGTCGAAACAGAAGTTCATTCTGCAGCATTTAATCGATTATAACTTTTGTTATTCTTCATGAAACTAGTCGAAATTTCATGATAATGTTTAGTCATAAGAACTATAGCTCTGACATAAATTTGAAACCGAGATAAAGTATATTTCAGGAGATATTAAGTTGCTTCAACGGAGAATGGATTGACAAGTAACAACTGGTCCCAGTCTTTTCCCGCCTTCTCAATCACCCCGAAGCTAATGTAAAATACTTCAGGGGCCGGTTGTTCAAAAGCCGGTTAACTTAACCCAGGGTTAACGCAATTTTTTACATCAATTTTTTTTTTCATCACTTGTTCATAAAAGTTGAATATTTTTACCATGGGTATTTTCTGGTTCAATAGAAATCTTATTTTGTAAAGTTTTGAAACAAGCGGCGGTGTAGAAGCACGTAAACTAAAACAGCGGATTAAAATTTAACCCAGGGTTAGCGCTAACCTAGCTTTGAACAACCGGGCCCAAATGTGTCTCTCTACCCCGGCGTAGACCGACTGGCAAATCTTACCCTCGTTAATTCCTGCTGCAGTTTTTTACATTCCTTCTCTTTCTTACGAAGAACCATGGCGTTCCCTCGATTACTTTCTTTCTTCGACATGTCCTTCCTGTTCATGATCTCCGCGAGTTTGTTGATCGCTTCAATCTTCATCATTTTCTCTCGTTCAAATTCTTTACGGAATTTATCCGACACCGTTTCTTTCTCTTTATCCTCGTTTTTCGCTTTTTCGAATTCTGAAAATGCCAGAACGAACGAATGTCCCCTTCAGGGTCGCTGATCTCAAAATATAGAAACTGGATGGCGCATCTGCGAGTCACCGAACCGAAAATGGAAACTGGCGAATCTGGCGTCTATTGCGCATCAAGGTCAGAGACGGTCATACTGAATGCGCCTATTGATCTCGAAAAAGTAAACGCGGTATGCATCAGCTGTTTAAGACATCCTCTATAAACTTTACTGAGTCAATTATGACTATATCGAGTGGACCAAATTATCTTAACCCAAGGGCTGTACAGCGCATGCGCTATATAGCGAGAATGTTCGAGTGCCCACTGACCTGAAAACAATTACTGGATAACTTAATTTTGGATTGAAAAACTAATGACGTCGCATCCATTTTAAGTTTGCTGTTCAGCCGGCGACAAAACACTGCATAAACCATTCAAAGGAAAGTACTTAGAACATATCACAAACCTTCCGAGATTTTCTTCATTTCTTCATAAAGCTTATCCCGTTCTGAAATGGAATCTTCTATTTTCTTCTCAAATGACTGGGTTGCTTCCTCCAGCTTCGAGACACAGGATGAAATATCGTCAAACATCAAACAAGGAAATAGTAGGAAAAAATACGAAAAAACTAGGCAGCAAAGGAAATACCTGAGATATCCTTGATAACTTTTCTGACAGTTCAGTTTTATGCCTCGCTAGAGAATCTTTCAGTTCTAATTCCAGCATCGTCTTCTCTTTCTCCAAATCAGAATACTGGAACAGAAAGTATTTTGAAAAGAAATTATGAAAGAATAAAAACTTGCGTTTTTGTAGACTTCTCTAATCCATCAAGAGTATTACTCACTCTCCCCCCAAAAATCGCCCCCCCCATCCCCATCACTGTCTCTGATCCATTCATTCTACCCCGTCTTCAGCCGTAAGTTGTAATACACCCATGCAGTGGTAGCACCCCCTTCCACCCTCACCTACATACCCCCCAACACAATCTCATACAGTGGTACCACCGTCCTCCCACCCTCAGCTACATACCCCCACAAACGTAATCTCATACAGTGGTACCACTCCCCTCCCCGACATATCCCCACTAACACAATCTCATACAGTGGTACCACCCCCCTCCCACCCTCACCGACATACCCCCACCAACACAATCTCAGATCAATTTACTCAACTAACCCCGTCTTCAGCAATTTGTCTGGCAAGTTGTTCCGACTCCGCTTTGGTGGTTGTAAGCTCCAACTGCGCCGACAAAGATTCTCTACAAAAACACAATCAACTTTCGTGAAGCATCATGAAATCACACGTCAACCAGGCCCCAATTCCTTGAGCTAAAACTGTCATTCAAACTGCAATTTAAAACTGTGTTCATCCACAGTTCGCCTTTCAAACATTCCGTACAAAATGTGCCTGCAAGCAGTGTTTTCCTCAACAAAACTCCCTGCGGAAAATTCGCCTAAAAATTTGTACTGTACCTGTCTTCGTGAAGGTTACTCAATTCTTGTTTCAGCTCTTCGATTTTTTTAATTTTCTCTTCAATTTCTTCCTTGAGCTCTTTCACCTGACTTTTGTACAACGTCTAAAACATGACAATTAAGGAGAGTTGACGCGCGAGAATTTCTATGAGAGTTTCGTCTAGTTTTTTGCCCAGATCGAGAGAGTATGATCGTTGATGAAACTTGAAAGGTCAGGTGACGTTGATATTTTCTAGCCAAACTTACCGAGAAATATTGTTCGGCTTCTAGTTGGTCTTGTAGTTCCCTCATCTGCAAATCATCCATAGCACTGGAACTAAAAGGGGGGGGGAACGCAATATAGAAATACATTCATCAGGAGCAAAAATATGCTTATAAAGGTGAAAACAAGTCAACTGCCGTCGTCGAACATTCATTCAATGTAAAATTGATGGTTATGACGCAGACGTGAACTTACAACGCTCACAAAGTTACAGAAAAATACCTTTTTAATTTCGAATACGATTCCTCTAAACTCTTCTTATCCTCTCTTAGATCTTTCAAATCCTAGAAGAAAGATATCAAGATTGAAGATGCGGATTTACTGGTTGAATATGTGGATAAACAAGCAATGCTAGTTTGTACCTTCGACATTTGCTTATCCTTTGTATTGAGATCAGCGACCTCATCCATGAGTTTCTTGTTCTCATCTTGAAGGCCGGTTCGTTTCAGAACCTCCGTATCATGTTGACTTTCCAACGTTTTTACCTGGCGGAGAAATAGTTTTAAAATGTTATTCACAAGCTTGGAGGAATGGTAAACATTAGGGGGCCTTATAGCACAACAACATGAAGTAATACGTGATGAAAAAGAGAGACGAGCCAACAGAACAATTGGATGCAAATAAATGAAATACTGTAGCTTGTGTCTATGAATACACATCTGTAACTTCACAGTGCATTGGTATGCCAGATAATGGCCACACTTAAGCTTGCGGAGGAGGGGGAGGGGGGGGAAGAGGGTTGGGGGCAGGGGGTGTTCGGGCTTTGTTCAAAGACACCCTGTCCACAGAGGTTCAACTAGACGAGTTACCTTTTTTACAAAAGCTTCATTATCTTGCTCGAGTCGTTCCAGTTTTTGTCTCGTGTCTTTATAATCCACGGTCAATACTTCGATCGTTCGCTGCGCTTCAGACAACTGCGCATCCAGCTTCAATTTGGTTTCGCGCTCTTTTTGAAGGGTCTGGACTGAAAGTGAATAAATGACCGCTTTGAGTAACACCTACATGAAGTACGTAAAAAATCGATCTATGCTCAACTTACAAGCTTTATCATGTTCGTGTCTCTCCTGTTCTTTCTTCTCATCAAGGGTCATCGACAAGCGTTTCTTTTCCGCTTGGAAGCTGTTGATCTGAGCTTTATATTCTGCGATGGCCTTGTCGAGTTTCTGCGTCGCAGCAATCTTGTCATATTCGATGTTGGCTTTTTCCTGAAAGCAATTAAACCAGGTCGACAAAGTCATTACGTACCTATGTAGTAGGACTTGGGTAAAATAATTTCCTCTCGCGAGGTAAAGTATATGTATTTGAGCCAGGCGAGTGTTCCATCAAATAGATGCGATTTTCTTCTTTCGATGTATGTGAACAAGGGGATAAGTTACGGGTGTTTGAACAAGCGCATTTATACATCGGAGCATTCGTAACTACTCGCTCGTTTCAATCCACCAAAAGAAGGAAATTGCACCGAAACTCAAATTAAAAATTTCATCTGCATTTAAGGCTTGATTTCCACTTGCAGAGAAATGGTTCGCTAGCGAAATATTTGCATATTTTCTTTTGAATTAGGAACAGTCAAGTCATGTTGAACTAATTTATTTATGCTGTGAAAATTCAAAAGAAAACATGCAAATATTTCGCTAGCAAACCATTTCTCCGCTAGTGGCAATCCACCCGGCCTAAACGGCACTTTTATCCCGGCCTAAACGGCACTTTTATCCCGGAGGTCTGACCCACCTTCCTCAGAGCGACAACATCTTGCTCCAGTCTATTCTGCGTCAACGTTGCCTCGGCTATTTTATTTCGCAACGTTTCATTCTCTCGCTTCATTTCCATATGTTGAGCTGCAAATTTCAAATTTCACGTCAAACGATAACACTGCTACACTGATCTAATAACATACTGGATATAGAAACCACCACTCAATAATGCAACTCCAGAAGCCCCAAATTAAAAAGAATTAAATCAGGCGAACTTCAGGAAGAATCTTTCTGAGTTTGGCCCGTTTTAAGGTCCGTTTACACTTGCGATTTTGGCTGCGATTTTCTCCTTTGGGAAGATGTGAACGAGTGAATTGGTTACGAATGCTCTGATATATAAGAGCTCTTATTTGAACATCAGTAACTAATTCACTCGTTCACATCTTTCGAAAGAAGAAAATTGCACATAAAACCAAGCAAAAATTGCAAGTGGGCCTTTAAACGTTATGGAAATTGAACTTAAACAAAAACTTCAGCTCGACGTCGAAACCTGGGCTAACTATGTATCTTAATGGTCAGGGGCCGGTTGTTCGAAAGGCGTTTAGCTTAAACGGCGGATAAGTTGAAAATGGAAAACAAAATAATCTATTTATTGAAAACATAGCTTGAATATTTTGATGTGAATGGTTTAATTTGGAATTTACCTTCGAGCTCCATTTTCTGTGAGTCTGTTTGCTTTTTTGTGCTGAGTTCGCTTTGCAACGATGCTTGGATACGAATTAATTCTTTCTCTAGCGCTCCCTGTAACAAAGCAGACAAGAGTTCTCTTGGGAGATCCACACAACAGCAAATTAAACTTTAGTAAGACCATTAAACTTTGCCGCCATTCGTCTCAAATATTTATAGAAGATGCGCGATCCAATTTTAGTATAGATCAGTGCGAGTAATTTTTCTGCTCTAGAAGTTTGTTATTTGAGTTCATTTGTATTAAATTTTGCTCGTGATAAACACGGAGTCGAAACTGGGTTTTCCTAAGGCTGTTTTTCGTCTGCAGCTGTAGTGAACCGTATCAATGCATCCTGGGAGCTCGACTGCAACTAACGACTGTAAACACGCTATGTTACTTCGCTACGAAAAAGTCAAAATGAAAAAAAAACAGGGGTAAAATATAATGGATGTGAAACTATACGTACTTTGGCTTCAGCGGTCATGCGGTGCTTATCTTGAAGTTCTTTAAATGAATGTTCTAATATCGTGTATTGCTGTAGAGATAAAAAGACACAATACATATCAATATCTTGCATGATTCTAATAGTCTACATCTTTTTGTAACCAAACACACACTTCGTCGTGAACACAATTCAAGAACACTTCAAGAACTTATCTAGGGTTTCCAAGTGGCTTACCAATGAGTTAATTCCGTCACATCTTTATTTATACTGTGGATACTTTAAGATGCAGTCATAACTGCTATATCCAGCGTAATATTAGATCAGTGTTATACTACCTTGGTTAAATCCGCATAATTTTTCTTCGTCTTCGAACCAGCGTCTGTTTCTATCTGCAGTTTATCGCGCAGCTCAGAGGCCTGTAGAGAATATAAACGATGTTATTTAACATCATACAGTCCAGCCTTGGAAATATTCGAATGTCTAAAACTGGGCACATTCTCATTTGGATCTAACGTACGTTTTTCTCAAGCTGGGCTGTTTTTGTTTGAGCGCTTTGAAGCGCTAAACTGATCTCAGCTTTCGCACCGTGGTCCGTATCCAAACGACTCTGCAGATCTTGGACTTTGTTTTCGGCCTGAACATTTCGAAAGAAATCGTTTAAATATGAAGAGTAAAACGATACAACAAGAAGCAATTTCTGTAAATAACAGAAAAACTTAACTACAGTACCTTTCTCTTGGCTTCTGATTCAAACTCACATCGTCTTTGGGCCTAGAGTTGAACGATGTCATTGTAAATCGGGCGACATGAATACAATACGAGACACAATGGTGTACTGTTATGTAGATAACATGAAGTACGCAGAATGAAGTGAAGTGAAGTTTGTTACCTCTCTTAAATCATGTTTGTACAAGGCTGCGTTTCTTTCTAACTCTCTATTCGATGTTTCGGCTTTCTTTCTTCCTTCGACCTGTGGAAAGATGCAATCAGATCATTTGAACATCGAAAACAGAGGATTTGATTCGTAGCAATAGGTTTGAAGTAAAACTCTCGATAACGACGTTATTTTGGTGGTTGAAATGGAGAACGATGCTGGCCAGGTCTTTTAAAGGGACTTCGGAGTTGAACTAACAGCTTTGTACATAGCAAGCACCTCTCACCTCCGATTCCAATTCTTTGGAAATCTTCTCCAACTTTGCTGTGATGGATCTGGATAAGAAAACAAACAAAATGATGCAGCTGTTGCATTTGTAAACCATGCTCAACTACGCGTTCATGCGGTGAGCATTGTCAGCAAAACGAAACAGCAACGAATCTTTGTAAGGGCACCACGAACAGAACTCACTTTAGATTACTTTCCGCCTCGTCTTTCGCTGATTTCTCTTTAGCCAGTTGTTGATCGAGAGCGTCCATTTTCTTCCTGATGTGGTCGGGCGTAAAATGCTTGAAACCGCCCGTGCTGTTGTCTGATATCTACGAACCGAGAAACATTTTAAAAATACACGTTCGTTTGGGAAATCGTTCGTCGCAATGGATCATTCTCCTCTTCAACTATAAATGCTGAACCACCACCATTGCCTTGACCATAAACTCAAATGGTGCGGCATTTGTAAATAAGCAAGAGGTCCTTACAGAAGATTTTAAAGAGCTCGTTTATCATTAGTTTTTTTCGACAAAAACGCAAAGAGTTTTTTCAGGATCTGCAAAACCAAGGAGTTTTGACCGATAACATCTAATAATTTAGTTCGAAGAATATTCAAGAAGTTCAAGAAAAGAAGCGTAGCACGATTTCTTTTTACTTCTACGAGCAAAATCGCCCTTCACTCAACGATGTCACACAACGAGTGTAAAAACACAAACACACACACACACTACAGACCTGCTTTGCAAGGCAATGACCGCAAATACCATAATCCTATGACAAACCATTCAAAATGCAGATTCAACAATAATAGTATCGAGAGCTAGCGACTGACTGGTTGATTAAGGTCCGCTACAGCCTGAGTGGGCACCGCGGTGGTGAGTGATAACGATCGATAAATACCGATCAAGTTCATTTTCCTTTTTCGAAAAAGAAAAATTCATCAAACTTACCACAGAATCTACCGGTTTTCCGGCTGAACCACCCTTTCCTTTTCCAATTGAATATCTACAAATACAAGAGTCATTTGTTTGATTTAAGAGGCAATATTTCTCGTCGTATAAAGGGGTTAAACGCGTCGTATTAAACGCAGACCTCGCTGTTTCGAAGGACTCGTTTGTGAAATTCAATTCAATTTTTATCAAGTTTTGCAAAATATATGCAAACCCGCGAGAACTCAACGGATTACGTAATTTTTCCGCGCGATTCCACGAATGCCTTGCAGTCACACAAGTTTATGTACAAACGAACAAACGTACTTTTAAAAACTCGTCACAGGCAGGGACAGCTCAAGGATCTCAAATGGCTACTTACTCGTAATCACAAGAATACGTGAAGCCAATAAATGGCAAATTGTTCCCAGCGAAAGCCTACAAAATAATCAGAAGTTAACACAGAAGAGATACAAGAGATACCACTCTAGTAGTTTCTACATATATATAGTTCCTATTATCGGCAATGATATTTCTCATTTGCACGAAAAATGTCCCGCCAAATTTCGCCTCTAAGTGGACTGTACATTATCCTGAAGTACCAGGTTTTCAGTGTTTAGACTGAGCTCAAACAGTCTGGACTACAAAATTTTCGCCATCCCCAGGAGCTGGTTGTATCAAGTCCGTTTAGCTTAAACGGTGGAAAGCCGAAATTAAATAACAATCTTACATCTCTCTTGAATGAGTCAACTTGAATATTATGCACTGAATATGTAGTTGTAAACAGTATCTTTGTATTAAGGTTGAAAACATTTAGTTTGCTTGTTGAATAAAACGATAGACTTGCTTTCTATTTTGAACTTAACCACCGTTTAAGCTAAACGGGCTTGATACAACCGGCCCCCCGATTGATAAGCATACCTTGGTGGGAGCAAACGTCTCCTCTCCACCCTCAGGGTCAGCAATATCGTCAAAATTCGTCGTATCGGTGTCCGAAACAAGCTCTGGCACTACCGGAGCCACCACTGAAATCAAAATAAACGAGAGGTTGAATCATTTGCCGGAAATAAATTTTAAATTGCCACGATGAAACAGATGGCAGTGTGTCGATTAAAGGCATGATTATTTGAAAATAAAAAAAAACGGTTAAGGTCAGTTCACATGGGCGAAGTTTCCTGAAATTTCCAGTTTTCCGGAATGAAATAAATATAATTCTGTGAAAGGAAATTCTTCAATTTTGAACGCTAGACGAGGCAAAACGAGCCATTGTGTGAAGCAATCTTTAAAAATATCATAACAGAATTGCATTTGCTTCTGAAAACATCGGAAATATCGCGTGGGTCTTCGGGTGTCAAAAAGCGATACGGAAATGTAAAAATAAGCCTTACTCTCTCTAATATTCTCCCACGTCCATTGTTCGTTCTTAAAAAACCTCTGTTTTCTTATCTCATCCACCCCCTTTTGACCTATACGCACAGTCCTGGAAAAAAAAGAATCAGACGTTGTAAAATGCTCAGTAAAACAATGAACCGTGTGTGCATCCAGTTTCATATTGCGGTCTGTGACGCATACGAATGTATGACCGCAATATGAAACTGGACACACATACGTCTGGACTACTTAGAAGTATTGATTGTCTACTTAATATAAATATTGATTGTTAAAAAGGAAAAATATCTCGAAGTATATACGAAGAATCTTTTGAATGGTTACAAACCTGTCACAGAGGAAAGCCTGTATTAAATTTTTAGCGCTAGGAGATATTTCGATGTCATCTGGAAACTGCAGAGAGTTTTTATGGTCCATAATTTTACCTGGAAAAAACCCACAAAATTATATCTCAGTTTATCTGTCATTGCGTCTGGGGACTGTATTGGATTTTCTAGATCTTGGCCAGTCGTTCAAAGCTAGGTTAGCGCTAACTATATATAGGTTAGGTTTTAATCCAGTGTTTTAGTTCATGTGCTTCTGAACGACTTAAAACTTCAGAAAATATGACTTTTATTGGTCCAGAAAATATTTATGAAAAAAGATATTTAACTTTGTAAACAAGCGATTAAAAAAATCAATGTAAAGATTTGCTTTAACCTGGGGTTAAATTGATCAGCTTTTGACATATTTAGTCTTTTCGTCAATGCAGTTAAAAGTTGTCCCAAAGCAACTTTAAATACTTACTGTATGTGCCAACTAAGGAGTCAGCATAGAATGGTGTGTCTCCTACAATGTGTAAAATGAAGTGATAATAAATAAATGAAACAGAACTGTCTTACTTTATTCTCAAATGAAACAAAACTGTCTTACTTTATTCTCAAATGAAAAAGAACTGTCTTACTTTATTCTCATTTGCAAACGACTTACCAACAAGCATTTCATACAGGAAAACTCCAACTGACCACCAATCACATTCTCTGCCATAATAGCCTTCACCACCTTGAGATTTGAGGACCTACAATGATAGCAAAAAAATACGAAAATAGTGAATTTTATAGAAGATTAGAGCAGTTTATTGCGGACGAAAAAATTGGAAAATTACAATTTTTAGACTACACTGGGAGGATATGCAACTCAGGTTTTCCAGGGGGAGTCAAAGCCACATTTACATTGTGGGGTAATGCAGTTACTACAAAGCTTACAATGTACGTGAAGGTAGAAGTCAGTTTTGTGGTATTATTTGGGCAGTGGTGAAGCTTTTTAGTGAGAGGTAAGAAAACTGCTCTGGAATTGTGAGAATGATACACAAGTGATATCAAGGTGTTATTTAATGATTTAGCAAAACAGCATGTATTTGTCCAATCTAACAATCTAACATACCTCAGGTGAAATATAATCAGGTGTTCCAACTGCTGTGTCAGACCTTACCATGCCATCCTAAAGAAACATTTATTGTTACAGTATGTTAGGTTTTGGGTTCAAAAAGTTTGTAGAAACATAGCAAAAAATAAACTTTACAGTCATAAAAATATTTGGCATTCAAAAGTTTTTATGAGTTCATTTGTTAACCAATCAAAATTTCATATTTTTTATTGATTCTGATTGGTTAATAAAACAAAAAGTTAAAAAATGTTTTTGGAAACTCTTCAAAACTTCCAAGAATTCATTAATGATAGCCAAACTAATCAAATATTTATAGAATGATTTTTGGCAAAACTGTGAAATGAACTTGAAAGTGATCAGAATATCATACTGTAGATTATAAAAACTTGCCGTCACTTTCATTTGCATCAAAATGTATTTTATTTTCCTTAAAACCAGTCTTCCTAGCATTGCAATGTTTCACAGTTTATTTCTGCAAATCCAATGCAAGTATGTTAAGATTTGCATTTCCTACCTTATCCATCTTCATGCAGGTTCCAAAATCTGCCAATTTGACATGACCTTTACTGTCCAACAACATATTGTCAGGTTTAACATCCCTGTGAAATGGAATGAGGAAGTAAATAAGTTTTAAACTAAAAATTCTCACATTATACAAAGAATTTCTGCAAAAATTTGGTATCACTTGAGACGCAATATCTCAGAAATCCTTTCCCCTTTCAAACAAGGCCAGAGTTAATGCTAAAGTCTAAATAAATAATATATAGGATTCATTTCCTTGAATTCAAATGAAAAATTTTAGCCATCTTTATGACCATAACAAGCAGTTAATTAGGGTGTTTATATTCATTTTAATATTCATGTTCACATACCATGAACACAATTACTTTAGAAATATCAGTCAAAATGGGCACGCCTACCAAATCAAGAACTCAGACAAACATTCATAACCACAGACAACATCAGTAATCTCACCTGTGTATAAAACCCATGGAGTGTATTGCATCCAAAGCTAGAACTACTTCAGCTGTATAAAATCTTGCCCAGGACTCAGGAACATCATAGTTGCTCATCAAATTCACCAAATCTCCTCCTATAAAAGGGGATTTTTTAGTGAAACCTCTTTTAGTGAAACCTATCCATGTCTTGTATGCATAAGCTCAAACACAAAGATGCTAGAATTATTCAGGTGTAAGGGAAAAGAATTTCATGAAAGGGCACTGTTGTATGTATTGATAGGTACTGGCCAGGGTGCAAAAGATCAACACAGGAAATTTCACTGGAATTCCATACACATTGTTTGCAACTTCAACACAGATATTGGTTCAGAGTTTTGTGATGACTTTAAGACATTTTAAGATGGAAAACTTGTAATTTGATTACGTAGATTCATATCAACTTGCAAACTTCATATCAATTCACAGGTAATGGGTTAACTAAATTATGTACACAACAATACCTGCACAATAATCCATCACCATGTATAGGTACTTTGCATCTTGAAATGCAAAATGTAACTAAAATTAAAAGAATATATAAACAATTATCATTCATTGTCTACAAACATATAAGACCAACCTTAAGGTAAGTCTTATACAAACGTATAAGACTCACCTTAACTACCCACATATACAAACATATAAGACCTACCTTAACTACACATGCATACAAACATATAAATCTCACCTTATCTACCCATATGTACAAACATATAAGACTCACTTTAACTAACCATTCATACAAACATATAAGACTCACCTTAACTACCCATATATACAAACATATAAGACTCACCTTAACTACCCATATATACAAACATATAAGACTCACCTTAACTACCCATATATACAAACATATAAGACTCACCTTAACTACCCATATATACAAACATATAAGACTCACTTTAACTAACCATGCATACAAACATATAAGACTTACCTAACTACCATGCATAAACATACAAGACTCGCCTTAACTACCCATATATACAAACGTATACGACTCACCCTAACTACCCACGCACTGTCGCAGTATGCCATAATATCTCGTTCTTCCCAGAAGAAAGCAGAATCAGATCTCTTGATCTAAGATAAAGATAATCCACATGATTGGCTAAGTGCATACAAAGACGGATTTAGGGGATTAAACGTCTGGATAAATTCTGGCCAAGAAATGGCAAGATTCCAGATCTCAAACATACCAAACACATGAATCATCGATTCAGGAACCACAACAAAAACGCATACAAAAGGGGTAAAAAAACTTGATATTCATATATGATTGTTATTCCAAGCAGATTTTTACACTAGAATATTGCATACAATATGTTTCATATGTTTTCAGTTCTCTTAGTTTTCCACTATAAAAAACTAGCCATATTAGTTTGCAATAACCATAGACAATCTTTTTCATCTGGGGTACTGCGTTTAATGGAATAAAGTACTCCTAAATTGCTACAGCAGAACATTCCAAAGATATGACCTAAGTCATTTATTCATTTGTGTCTGTAACAATTGCAAGCAATGTTTTCAATATCTTAATTGAGCTTGCTTAACATGGCAAATATGCCAGTGTATTGGTTAATTATATTCTATGTCATATCAATATGTGGCCTCACCTCCTCCTGTGGTGAGGAAGTCAATTTTTTTTAAAAATTCCAAGTGAGAAAACTTTCAATTAATAAAATCTCGTTTACAAGGAAAGACTTATTACATTAATTTTATCATGAAAACATTTTCTCCCAACAAAGAATTCAATGAATTGCTCAGTCACAACCCAAATATCTTAACAATTTAAAAACGTTTCTTGTCAGTGTCAGATTTCAAGGAAATGAATTAAAATGTAGCTTATAGCATATAGAAGTACATATACGTATATAAGCATAAGATACAATGATTATTTGAGTTTACGATTGAAAACACCGATAGAGTGTTCTCCATTAATCAAACAATATCAAAATAAATGTTTACAAATTGTAAAAAAATTCTCATATTCTAATGCACTTAAGCGAATGCCAAAATCAAAATATAACATTTGGCTGTTGTAAGTAGCTTTCCGGCAAAAAAACCCTACTTAAAATCGCTTAATTCTTGCGGAATTTTAGATGAATTTTTTATATCTAATGTTTAATTGATCTTGCAAGCATCTTTGCATGAACTCGCAAAACAATAGCACAAAAATGCCAAGGGTTTCCGACTATTTTAAAAACAATTACACGGCTAATATTTGCGAAATTGCTAGACCCTTCCCCGAAAATTATAAGCATTACTCGCAAGCAAACACAAAACGTACCATCTCGAATTTATTCAGAAGTTTCATTGCATAAACTTTTTTGCTATCTTTGTGCCTGACCTGTCAAAACAGAGATAGATACATAATTATAAATAAACACGATATATCTTGCCGATCGTGCGAATTTATAAACAATATATTCGGCACGAAATCGGTTTATTTCTGTTCATTTTGTGGCTTAGAAATCAAATTATCTATTGTGTATTGTGTATCGAGTATACAGTCTGTAAACAATGCGCTGAATTTGCCAGCAATTCTAGCATAAATAATTATTTCACTTCGTTGGCATTATTAAAACACCACTTAAAATCAGAAATTGTAAACCAAATAAAGTATTGAAAAGAAGTTTAATGAATTACCAATTGTACTTCGCCAAATGCCCCTCGTCCGATAACTTTCACCAGATCAAAATCGCTGTGTTTCATGCGATGATCACGTATAAACACCGAAGGTCTCTCATCTACACGTACAAAAACAACATCTTGTTTGAATGTGTCTTACAACTTTCATATTTGAAATATGCTCAGTAAACACGTTTAGGAATCGTACATCGCGATAGAAAGCTCTCCAAGTTCTTGTTCTTTCTCAATGCTGGGAAATCGCAGTCGTTTGCCAAAGCCTGTATGCTATCCTGAAACACAAGCGTGAAACGTATGATACATCTATTCGCCATTCCATGATAGCATCGGGATACATGGCAGTTTGTGCATATTTCAACAACTTACAAGCAATCCGTCAATGTGCAGAGGATGCCTTGGGTTTCCAACAGTCTTTTCGAGTTCATTTCGACGCTTCTGCAAGTCAGTCATCGTGGAAACAGGATATGTTTATTGTATACAAAAATAATTGTCTACCACTTTGCTACGAATGTGTACCAAACTTATGCCGCCATAAAACCGGGACGGCCGAGGGACATTTCTCGATTACGCCATATTTCGCTTTGTTTTTCATGACGGCAACATGTCGTGGCCTTCAATGGCCACTATCACAGCTTCTTAAGGTAAAAAAATACACAGTTTTTAGGTCCACTCCCTGTAAAGACATTCAGAACTACCAAAAGGAAATTGGCAGGGAGCGAAGAAGATTGCTGTCACGTGAAGACGCCCTCGATCCGCCCATAACATTGCTCAGCACACAATTCCTTGTGACCTGCAATACTTTGTCTAATAATTTGTATACTGTTACTTTGGTACAATTCGGTTCACAATAGGATAGAAGAGTTCGTCATGAGTGGTGGGGGGTATCAACGGGAGAAATTTACCGAAATCCCCAAATTACTAATTAAATCCCAAAACAATGTCGAAAGCAAATTTCCTGACTAGCATAACCAGCGTATATAATGTTCCGCATTTTTATTTGATTGATTATATATTAGTATGTTTAATCAGTTTAATCTCTAATCAGACCAATCCTAATCCCTAATCTTTAACCAATTTTTTAGCTTAGAAAAAACTGATAATTCATGTAAAATACTGTAACCTGTGCACAGACCGTCTTATTTAGGTCATTCAGATACAAAAAAGTTTTCAGTTCAGACACAAACCACGACAGCTTATTGTAGAATAATACTACCTACACTGAACCACCACGTTTGAGATATCTTTCTCAGGTAGTTCAGACACAAACCACGACAGCTTATTGTAGAATACCCCCTACACTGGACCACCACGTTTGAGATATCTTTCTCAAGTAGTTTAGACACAAACCACGACAGTTTATTAATTATTATATAATACTACCTACACTGAACCACCACGTTTGAGATATCTTTCTCAGGTAGTTAATGACAGTTCATTGTAAAATGCTATCTTCACAAGTTCACTTGATCATCAAACACTTATCAGTCCTTGTTAGCCGGGAGTTCAGAAACGAACCGCGACAGCTGGTTACAGAATACTACTTTTATATATTGGACTACCAATTCTCCTTTACATCATTTTCTGGTAGCCCAGACTCTTATTCAAGTTGAGATTCAGTCTGCCCTCAAAGAAAACCGGTTGTTTGAAAGGTGTATCTAGCTATATGCTAACAGTAGCTTATTCAACCTATTAAAAAAGGGACAAAGAACTATACTAAACGTCGGTTCTTTGCAAACGAAATTAAGCAATTAAGCCTGCCTGCAGACGTAGTTTAGCTATGAATATATCAACACCTATCTTAAGCAACGCCCTAGCTGACAACAGTGAATAAAGATTCGAAAAATCATTATTCACTCGACAGGATCACTGCTGAACTTTAATTATACACCCCGCCACGAAACGCTTTGTTTTTCAGCCGAAAAAAATAATAAGTTTCATTCTAGCCGTATTAGTTACCGCGTTGCGAACGCTCATCTTAATGCCAAGTTAATGAGTCTTGAAATGATAAGCCAGCTGGTTTATTTGTCTTCCCTACAATGTCAATGGCTATATGCGATCTTTATAAGATATATCTCTTGGCGTAAGAATCGAGCCAACGTTACAATAAAATAAATATAAAAAATATCCCATTTATCAGACTTTAATCTTTGCAGGGAGCTGTGAATGCAACAATCAAAACAATGTTATTTACAACATATAATAATTTATTCATTTTTTCCCACTTAAAAACGTTTGATTCACTGCACTTTATAAAATATTCATGCATTTCCAGACTTTGGAAAAATATCCGCTCCCATACAATGGTAAATCGACAATAAGCTTGTACATTGACTATATTCGCATAGTTAATTACAGCTGGCCTTTTCGTTGCTGAATTGAAGTTGACAAAATCATCTTCAATCATATATATTATCAGCTGGCGTATTCCAGTCTAAGCCACTCAAAAAAGCCTTCAAAATGGCTCGCGTTCTACGCAGATTCATTGCTGCAAAGGCTTACCATAGCATACACAATTCCTCCATAGTTTTTCTTAAAAATAAATCGCGAAGCAACTGGACGGCATTTTTCAAAGCGTCGTCCAATTCAACGCACGTTGCATTTCGCCTGCGAATGCCGAAATTCTCCATGAAAGAAATGCGAAGGCCGTTTTCTTCCACGAGTAATTGTCTCGTCTTTTCGACGGCAATTTTGCCCCGTCTTGCGCTAGATGGTGGTGACGGGGGATATACGTCTGCGTAAAGTCTTAAGGCCTCTGGGACTGTGCTAAATTGTGGGAAGGGAGATTCTGCTTCTTGCCGATTATCCTCGTTATTAAAATCATCATTTGTCTCAGGTACAGTGATCGTAGCGTATATCGAATCCGTACCTAAAGTGACCGGACCCTTTCCGCTATCTGATTTTAAAGTTTCCGAGCGACGTAGCCGTGTTTCTCTGTCTGTTTCTGCTACATCTATTTTGACCGAAGGCAATGCTGGGTCGGGTATTTGAAGAGAAAACTTCTCCCCATTTTGCGAATCGGCGACAGTCGTTTTAATCAACACAGCTGGCTGTTCGACAACCGTTTCCGATTTTGATATATCGCCTAATGTCTCCGTTAAGTCGTGTTTCAATTCCGGATTTTCTTGCAATTTTTTATTTCTTCTTGCTCGAGTTGAGCGCCTGTGACGCTTCGTTCCATTAACCGGGGCATTAGGAATGTTAACGGTCGTTGTTTTCAGCGATGAAGAAGCATCGAATGTTTTTCCAATCGGAGGTAGGACAGTGTAAACTCGAGGAAATGTAAGCATCTGGTTTTCCAGACTTTTATTACCAGGACCTGTCCCGTTGTCCACATCGTTTTCTGACCCCACAAGCGCGTTCAAATTGATCCGAGGTAGGCTGAAATCTTGGCCTGTTTTCAAATCACGATTTCCATAAGACAGTGACCTGTTGTTATGATGTTTGCCAGCGTTGTTGTAACCTGTAGCGATCGGTGGCAATTTTAATCTGTGATTAACCAAAGAGCTTACGGCTTTAATATTTGACGTCGCGTCCACATTCAGACGGTCTGCCATCACATCATTGTGCAGAATCATGTAGACGACCGTTCTGGACAATAGCAATGCGATATATACGCACGTAACTTGTCCCTTTCTCACGTAACTATGAATCTATTGCCGCCGCAATTAATTTTGTTGATTATCCATCTTTTTGTTTTTAAAATTGCTACTGTATTAATCTCCACTTCTCAATTCATTATAGGCTTAGCTACGTTTAATATAATACTGTATTAAAGGTCTTCACTTCACTTCATATTATTAAAAACATATACTTGTGTATTACGACTGGCGCCGAACCGATTTCTTCTAAGAACCCCACGATAATAATTCATTTCAGTTCATATCAGGATTCCATTCGGCAATACAAATAGCCATATAAAGGCGAGCGAAGAACTCCTATGAAAAATAGGAAAGGAACACGCTCAACAAATGCATGAAACTACAGAATCAGCCTGTTGTCATGGCGTAAATGGAACTGAATTATTTCCGCACGTCTTGGATTCAATTTATCCGCTAAGGTAAATGTATGAATGTTATTCGTTAAAAATTCATGAACAATTAAGGCGAGAAATACACCTGTTATAATATAAACTAGACATTTTCAAATGCAAATTGGGTTTGAACAATAATGTCAATATGGCGTCGGCTGTCCTTGCCTAATATAGACTAACAAGTAAAAAATCTCTTATCAATTCTGATACCCATTGGCTTAAACGGACACACTGACACGAAGATTATAAGATAAGACACAACTCATCTCGATTCAATCTAAAGCCCAACTCATTTTTAACATGCAAAGTGCCTTTAATTTCGATGAAACTTGTGAGGAACCATCTACCCATTAAGACGACATCATTGCAGCAAATATATCAACTACAGTAATTGTTGCAATTAGGCCTGAAGATATATTTCATATTGGATTTGCAACGATAATTCCGATATTTGTAATGATTCCGCTATATTCGTAAAAAACATATTAGGTGTTTTTTTGCGTTTGTATAATCTGACCTTCCGAAAGAGGTATGAGCCAAAAACGATATTTCTGACTTGTATTCCTTGGTAGAAAAATTAAACAATGTCTCCTGGTTTGTCCACCTTCATGAAACATGGCTAGGAAACAATGTTTCCTGGTTTGTCTACCTTCATGAAACATGGCTAGGAAACAATGTTTCCTGGTTTGTCCACCTTCATGAAACATGGCTAGGAAACAATGTCTCCTGGTTTGTCTACCTTCATGAAACATGGCTAGGAAACAATGTTTCCTGGTTTGTCCACCTTCATGAAACATGGCTAGGAAACAATGTCTCCTGGTTTGTCTGCCTTCATGAAACATTGCTAGGAAACAATGTTTCCTGGTTTATCTACCTTCATGAAACATTGCTAGGAAACAATGTCAGCTGGTTTATCTACCTTCATGAAACATTGCTAGGAAACAATGTCTCCTGGTTTGTCCACCTTCATGAAACATGGATAGGAAACAATGTTTCCTGGTTTGGCTCAATTGGCTGGTTTGTCCACGTTCAATAAACATGGCTAGGAAACAGTATTTCCAATTAAGTTTGACCACCTTTGGAAGAAAACACATTCTAAGAAACAGAATTTCTAGATTTGTCAACCCCCAAGAAAGATGACTTAGAAAATATGCTTCGCAGTCTGTACACGTTCGGAAAAAATGACTGGTAATATATTTGCGGAAAACTGATATCGAAAATTTGACGTTTGTACCGATGCCACATTGATGACCCGTTAATTGATCTCGTGTTTTTAAGAAACATAGTATAAATGGAAGGATTATATTACATCACAAGACAAATTGCAAATACAAACGATCAGGCGATTTTTTTGGGGGGAAAATTACGCTAGAAAAGCCGCTACTGTGTCCGATATCGTATCATTAATCAACGGCTGTCGACCCTCGACAGTTTCGAATGTCCGTCACGACTATTGAAAAGCATGATCCGTGTCTTTGGTGATTGCGAATGAGCCAATGAGCAATTTAGTGTTTGGGTGAGCTTACAGCCATCTTGTCTGTAAATATGCGACTAATTCGCCCTGAGTTTACATCCGCTGTATTCACTATTAAGCGAGTATTAAATTATTTCAATTTCGGTGAAGAAGGATAGCTTCTAAACTTTGGTGCTTCGGATAAGCACTTGTGTCAAACTATCAGCGACAATGTCAACAGAAAGATATCGAATCACTCAGACGTTTCTATTTATGTTGAGTGTAAAGTCATGTATGTCTTCGTGAAAGATTCCTCCCTCAATGTTAACTGGTCATTTAAAACCCCATCATCGTCTTACCTTACTGTACAGAACTTCAAATGTATTCCACACGCAAATGTACTATTGCCAGTAAGCTCTTGTCGATCTGTCGCCGTGCTGCAACATTAGCATTTCTGTCGTCTCGACATCGAATTTTTATTGCATCGACGCCCGCGATTTGTTGGCCTGCGGTATTACGGCTAACCAGCTGTGACTAACCAACTCAAGTTTACTCAACAGCCGCCAGTTTTATAGGAAAACATGTGAAGGTTGTTGTAAAATCTACGTTAGTTGCAAAATTTATGGTACGTTAGTTTAGTCTGCGGGAAGACGTATATCCAAGCGGCAAGCGTATATATATTATGGGGCATACCACGGGGCAGAGGGGGAAAAAAATTTTCAAAGGAACCAAAGTGCCCGTCTTTGAAGAAGCTAAATTTAGCTAAAGTAGCTGTAAATACTATCGAAAGTGCCCTTATTGTTTCCTACGTATGCCCACTTACTCGTGGCAAAATCTTTTTGCAGAGCATAAAAATACACTACACTAGTGCTTTTCTTGCAGCTTTGGCAATCAATCAAACCGTTCCTATAAAGTGGAAGCTCGTGCCCCCCCCCCAATCTCTGGGGTCGGTTGTATCAAGCCCGTTTAGCCTAAACGGTGGATAAGTCAAAATTAAATAACACTCTTTCATCTCTCTTGAATGAGTCAACTTGAATATTATGCACTGAATATGCAGTTGTTAACAGTATCTTTGTATTATGGTTAAAAGCATTTAGTTTTGCTTGTTCAATAAAACGATAGACTTGCTTTCTATTTTGAACTTAACCACCGTTTAAGCTAAACGGGCTTGATACAACCGGCCCCTGGAGTCTGGAAGCTTATGCGCCCCTGAGCATAGTCAAACTGACAAATTCAGTTTCGCTATGCACATTTAGTCATTGACTGTGAAAACATATTCTAACTGTATTCATAATTATAAATTGTTGCTCTATCCTCTACTCCAACTCAACCAAAGAAGACAAGCATGAAAATGTGACATTTCTTTTAGATAAATCAGTTCTTTTTAAATAAAACAAACTATACACTTTCTTTCTTCTTTCTTTCTTTAGAACACCCCCCCCCCCATACGTTAAAGATCGTATCTGAAGTATTTTTGACCTGTCATACAAACGTGTTTGTGTGTTCGTAAAGCCTTCTTACAATTATTCGAATGATGTCCGCAAACGTCAATTTCAAACGGTTACAACTCGCACGCGTTTCCGACCAATACAGTCAAACACATAAAGTCATTAAACTCTCATAAACTCATTACATCCGGATGACCGAATGACTTTAAACGAGTGACGTACGCCTCGAACATGGGGAGGCCTGGGTTCGACATTAAAAACAAATTGCGGGCTCGGGGAAAAAAGACTGGGAGACTTCGGATCTGCTTCGGATACAGAATACCTAATCAGGACAACTCCATTGTTTTTTGCGTAAGTGGTTCGTCACCAGTGAACTCTATACAAATGGAACGATAACTCCTGACAAACATCCCTATTCAGCTTGAAGCCAAAATAGTTTTTTTGAGTTTTGAGACGAAATACTTCACGCCAGACGTTGGGCTGCGTGTCAAATTAAAGCTAATGAAAAGTTATATTTGGTGTGGAAATTTCAAGACTTGAACTGCAAAGGAAATATTAAAAAAAAACCAAAAACAATTACAAATCGGCAAAAAACCGGAAAATTTTCAAATATTTTTTAGATATTTCCCTTTAAGCTTAAGTCTCGAAAATTCTACACGAAATATAACTTTTTAATCGCTTTAATTTCATGTACGGCTCAACATTAGGCTACAGTTCAATGTTCGTCACTCAGCAAGTACCGTAAATGGAGGCAATTACCCCCTGCCAACAGTCCCATTTTCAATATTTACAGGGGGGTGATTGCTTCCATTTACGGTACTTGCTGAGTCACTAAGGCAAAAAACAATGGAGTTGTCCTTTTGATAAGTATTCCGTGCTTCCGAACCGCAAATCTCGTAACCAGAGCCCGCGATCCTTGACTCGGGGGGAGTCCGATCCACTGAACTATAAATAAACTGGAACGTGTGTGTTCGTATTGCGCGAGAAGACGATACGGGGATGAAGCAGGGGATGAAGCCTTTTAGGGTCAAAGTAATTGTATATATCTTTTACGCAGGCTGGTGTGGGCGAAAATCTTTTCTTGAACAATAGGGAATGTTTTAATTAACCCTAAAGGCACGTTGCGTGCGCGTCAGTGGCAGCTATATGAGAATTTATTCACCTGAAGGGTCATATTAGTCCCACGCAAAAATGACGTGCGGATATGAGGCGAAATTATAAAATAAACAGCTTAAAGATTAGGGTCAGTAGCGTTCGCAATTTACACGGGGAAAAAATCATTATTTTCAGATGCCACTCGAAAACACTGATGAATTACATTTCCGACGTTTTAAAACGGCTCTTTATCGTTACAATGTTTAAATATTTATCCGTTTCAAATTTGCGTGAGTTCAAGGTTTAAACATATCGGCATTGAATGAAATGTGAATTGTGAAATGTCACTGAAATATCCTATATATTATAATTATTATTGTTTACAATCGTTTTCATGCGGGCTGTTTTTTTAGAACATACTAGAGCCCCTTTGAGGTCTTTGAAGCAAAATACACTCGTGATGCACTTAAGCGGTTAAGCAACCGACGACAAAGCCATATGACATGTGTCAATTACTGGGCCAAAACCGACGCGATGTAAATGAGGTAAAATTAAAAAATTTCGAATATCATGTTAACCAAATAGCTTGACGCGTTCAACGCTTAGCATTCGGCCCTGACACTTTACCATAAAGTCCTCTTTACGGCAGTTCAAACACTCCCAAGTCCGGAAGCAGCGTGCTGGATCGCATGTTATGTCGAGCTAAACACTTTTAAACGGTTAAATTCAAGCCTGTCAACGTAGACCTGTCACTTGTGTCTAATTTCACGTTCAAAGTGTTGACGTCACGTGTGGCCTGGGTATTCGCCGTGACGGGAGACCCACGCCATAAGAACATGTTGAAAACTCAACTGTAGCTATCTGCTCGCAAACAACAACGCTTTTACAAGCCGAACTGTGGTCTTTCGACAAGACAAAACGACAGACAGGAATTTGTGGCGGTTGGACTATACGAAGCGGGTGAATTCTAGCGCTTCAAAACGAGGTAAGACAAAGAAGAATTAGATACATTTTCAGCCTATACATTTCCTGAGAATTCCTCAGCCTACCGAGACAATGTTATTCTATCGTTTCGCAATCTTTTGAACATGTAATATACACAAAGAATGGTCACCGGTAACAATCCGGTGATACAATGTTCGACATGCGAAATGAAAAGAAAGATTGTGAATGTCTTCATGAAACATGTTTACGAGACATTGTGAGACGATATAATCTCTTTTATGCTTTCACTGTGATATTCCATATTTAGCTTGCCAGCACGCAAATTCATGTCGGAAGGCACGTACTGTGAACTGGCGAAGCATCGAAAAATCGCTTACGGTATGTGCTGGGCTTTTAGGCGAAGCAGTAAACCAACACATTTCGTTGTATTAAAACGTATTTCAGCGATGTCTAAGCGATGAATACTACGGCGTGCCGCGTTGAAGAATTTTAATACGTGAATAAATACGGCATCTCGAATTTCAGTTATCTTTCGAATTTGGTCTTCGGCGTACGGAAAGAATTATATAAACAAGATACCTACAGCTATTTATAACTAGACAGCTTTAGAGTGTATTTCTAAGTGTTTGGTTTCCTCAGTTTTTTACCCTCCGAAGACGAAGAAACGATAACGTATTATTTCACTAATTCAGAGCATGACAGCGACTCAGCATTATTGCTGACTCGTGTTCAAAACGTGAAGCTTTGTTCTTCATGTTTTGTTCGTTTCAAAGGTGCACAATCTTTTATTTCACGACGTTTATACACACACTAAAGTTTCAACGACAAGCTGGCTTTCGATATCCTGTTGCCAAATATCGTTTCAAAGGCATTCCGACAAATTTTCACGCTGTAATTTAGGTTCTATGGGAAGCGTTTTGCCTGAAACCTCGGAATTAAACCTGTACAACATCCGCGTTACGTTCAATTGGGGCAACATCTTTTCTTCAGGATACAAACTAGGCTCTTCCGAAATGCATATATTGATTTTGCAAGAGGCAATCTTCCTCGAATAATTATAGTCACGGCATGAAATTATACGTAGACAATAATCGAAAGCTCATAGACATAGTCATAGCCATAGGCATATCCACGCTAGCCGTTTTGTGTGTATACTGTATTAATCTAACTGTAAGGTTTTGGGAATGTGCGAAGCATTTATTTGAAAATGGACGACGTTTATCATGACAGTCAAGTCGCTTCGAAGAGTCGAGCTTGTTGAGATTTTATGCTCTGATGATTCTCTAGATGTAAATGTCATATTATATGTATATAAACGATGGAAACAATCGCGCTGTATTTCGAAAGACAAGAAAAATGCATAAATTAGACCTGAGCTGACGTAAGTCGCTACAACTCGTCAGCACCTCGTCGCCGTGGAGATAATCGGTGATGACGTGCTCAGAGCACGCAATAGAACGACCTGCGACAACGCACGTATAACTTCACTTCAATTTGAAGATGTTTTGACATGCTGCAATGTGCTAAGCAGATTTCAGATTTTGGTGAATGTTAACAATTGACAAGGTGCTTGGATGATATCCGCGTTGCCACAATGACGAATTTTTCAGGTATTATTGGCGGCACACATCAGACAAACAGGTTTCTTTCTAGAAAAAAGCACGTTGTTGCATTTTTTCATCCAAAGGCAAAGCCGATTGCGTGGATGTAGCGGCGACTTGTGCATCTTCTTAGCGCCTTACCGTGGATTTTAACCTCAAACAAAATAGATATGCGCGATAACGGATAAATAATTGCTTTAAACCGTTGCGAGGTCGTATTAGGCTTTGCAATATATGTTGTAGCTAAGTAGCAAAGGTGATTTTCTGGATATTTTCATCATCAAACGCAGATTAATTAGACGAACTCGCCTGATAAAGCTATATTTACGCTCTTATCTTAGACACTTCGTGTGGTTCCACGTTGTAAGTATTGTTTCACTTCACGCCTGCAGGGCAAATATTTACTGTCTGTTTGATCTCAGTAGCACCACACAGGAGATAATCGAAAATTCTGAGAAAAATCCACATAAATTACAATAGTATTACCGACAAGGAGTTTTAAAAAGTCACGATATCAATATGAGCGCGAATGAAGCTATAATGCATGGCCTAATGCAAGACGGTAGACCAGGCCTCACACCGACACATGTGCAGATGTAAAATTAAAGGGGAAAACTGTCTAGAAGATAAGTAAACCTTTGGTTTATCACTCAACAAGGGAGATAGATAAGCCATGATTTTATGTTTCTCGTTCAAATAACGTCAGCTTAAGTTGGCCCTGTTATACGCTGCAATTTTTCTTCCAACTTCCAATGCAATTCGACTTTTAAGAGATGTAAATTAGTGAAGAGTCTTCATAATGTTAGTGTAAGACACGCCATGGAATGTATAAATAAAGACAAAAGTTTGATACGTAATTTAGCTTGTAGGTACACCACGTAAGTACATTTAATACTGCAAAGCTTTCGGTCCGTCAACCCGAGCCTACATCAGTGCAATTACCTGAATACACATTCACACGTCACTTAAATATCACGTTAGTCGTGATTTGTTAGCTCGCGCCATTACAAACGAAGACTAACGTGATATTTAAGTGACGTGTGAATCTGTATTCAGGTAATAGCACTGATGAAGGTCTGGGTTAACGGACCGAAAGCTTTGCAGTATTAATTATACTTACGTGGTGTACCTACAAGCTAAATTACTTATCGATTGTCACCATGCAAACATTCAAGAATATTATTAAAATTTTAATAGTTGCCAAATTCGTCTTAACAATTTGTACCTGGCAACAATTTGTACTAATAGTGGTACGACACTATTAATAGCTAATGGAGATGCCTAGATGTGCCTAGAATGAGAATGCCCTTTTAAAGTATAGTTTTTAATACATATGTATACGCCCTCGTCTCCCCGTTGGTATATATATAGATCCTTTTTAACAGGGAGAGTTTCTCTGTGTGAAACCTTTTTGAACTATCTTTATAATTGCATAATTAAGAAGGGGTACCACTCCTTTATCTTTGTTATATTATAGACTGAGTCGAAATGTATGGGTAACAAAAAAAATTGCATGAATGCATATACAAAAATGTTGCGGATTCATCTAAAACATTTCATATTTAAGAAATAGAAAACATTTTCCGTGTTTCTATACAGTTATAGAAACACGCGTGGGAGTTTGGGAGAACGAGAAATAATCAGTGGGAAAACGAGCCCGTACAAGTGTTTCTAAAATTGTATAGAAACACAGGTTTTCTATTTCTTTTATAATATAACTCGATAAAAAGATTTTGTACAAATATTATAATTCGATTCAATTACGAATTCTCATTACATCGCTTCGCTTGCCAAGTTCGGCGGGAAAATTCCCGTGTTTCTATACAGTTATAGAAACACGCTTCTCGACCAATCAGCAAGCGCGTACTATGTTATATTATGAATACTTATATAGTTTTAGTTACCTCGCCGCCTCGTAAAATATAAGCGAAGGAATTCAATAATTACACGCCCCATTTTTTTTGTTTCCGTTTTGACTTCGCATGACTAGCAAAAGTGAATTGCCTTTTAATGGAAGACTTTCCTCGCTAAGTAACAAGAACACCGAATACTCTATATAGCCGTGTTTGTTTTTTTTGGTAGCGAGCGTCTCCTTGTAGCTATATATAAATTGTAATTTAGGGTTCTATTGTCAAACCGCATGACGCGACAGTGCATGCCTTTAATATATTAGTTTTGTATATCCCCTGTATGCTAGCGAAAGTGCAAATTTTCCCTTGCGCGGCCGGGCAAGCCAATACTTATTCCTTCTATATGTCTTTGAAAACCATAGCCGAGACAGAATTTCAAATAGCCGGATCTATTTAAAGATCTATAACATTAGGGGGTCGTATAATGAAGCATTTATATCTTTCTAGTCGCTTATAGGAACGAATATTATCACTTCCAATAATTTATGAACAATATATATATATAGACCGCCGATAACTCTTTCTAAATCTACCGGTGGAAACTAATTAAAAGATGGCCACTATACTTCACGCTGTGTTTAGAAACAAATACAAAGAATTGCCGATTATATAGAAACAACTAGTATAATCCAGTATTATTATCGAAAATATATGCACTAAACTGAATAGATTTACCCTAATCCCAATCGATTGCGTCACAATAATCCGACTTGCGTTTGAACATTTTTTACTTCAAGTACGAGTTACTGAAATTAATGAAAGATGCGTTGTCGTGTCCAAAAAAGCACCAGTTTCTTTCATCGTTTAATGTACGTGAAAAATATTATTGAAACGGCAGGATTTAGGCAACGAACGACGTAATTTTAGATAATTCTCACACTAAGATGAATAAATGTATTAGTCCAGGATTGATTGACACAAATTAGTGTTACTTCATGTCCACGAAGTCGATGGAATTAAGGATTGGGTTTTCAAAGTCTGACGAAAACACCCACATGCAGACATGCAGACATGCATGCATGTGCAATTTTTACCATTTAAATTTCGAAAGCAAAGGAATTCGAAAGCAATGCGGTGGTTATAAACACAACATGTGATTTTCACTCGAATACAATGAATCAATATATTGATTCTCTGCGAGCATCGCGCGGTTATTTCACAACTAAACTAAGCACACGTGCAATTAAAGTACCATGCAGTCTGATATATACTTCCGAGCATGTGCATCCATGCACGAGGTGCTCAATTCCTACTAGAGTTGTCACGAGATATAGTTTACAGTCACATGGATGTTTTAAAGATATATATACGATAGAAGTATAGAAAAAGATTTATATATGCATGAATAAAAGGCAAAAGAGGAAATTCGAGTTAAATTTTTTCAACTATATGAACTATAAGTCGTTGTCAAATTACTAAATGTACAAGAGGGATTTCGCCTCAGAGAAATGTAATTGACACAAAACTCTTACTTATTTCAACTCTTTAACTCAGGATAGCTTTTTTCTATATACATACACTACAGCACC